AGAGCAGTATCAGAGATCAGGGATTCTTTCAGGTGTTGACTCACCCCTTGAATGGGTAAATAAATCAGAAACTGGATTGAGTGCAAGGAGTGCAAACTGTTATTCTGCAAGAACTGAGGGATGATTATATTTAGGGGAAGACATGAAAACAGGCCTTAAACATCTTCTCCTACCTAGACTTATTTTGCTTTGGAAATTTTGGTATGTAAAGTTAAACAAAGCCACTCTGAGAGTAACAGATCAAGTGAAGTCTAAACACTTTGACAAAGAAAATCTCTGTATTGGTAACTCAACAGACTGACAGCGGAAGTTACACGATATCTCTAATAAGAAACACACACATTGTAAAAGAGTGATTGAAGTCCAGGTTCTCTTACAACAATATAATATAATATATCTATATATAGTGTTAGCAAATTTAAATTCTGCAAAAAAAGTTTCCTCTTTTAGTAAATAAAAATCTGCAAAGACAAAGTGTATTCATATACAAATAATTACTCTGACTTACAACTACTGCAAAGTGCACTGTGTGTGCGTTCTTTACTAAAATATTGAATTAAAAGAGTTTTTTTTAAATATATAAAGCAGATACACAGGTTTTGGTCATTTTTCAGATATTTGAGTACATGAGAAATATATCTATAGTATTCCATTTAATATTAGGCTAGACGCGGGGTACGGTGCAGTTCCCCGAAAGATTCATTGGCGAGAAACCGATCCAGCTACAAGCTTTCCACCCTAGTCTAGTCTTCTGCATTCAACGCCAAAGAAAATGGCTTTAACGTAATCTACAAAATATATTCCTTTAAACATTACCCCCCAAAATCAATAATTATCAGAGCTAGGTCCCCAATTCCGAGGCCCAACTAGTACCCACAACAACGAGAGGACCTGGATTAGATCAGACAACCAAGATGAAGCGAAGGTGCGCCGAAGGAGGGTAGGGGCGCGGGCGGGGGTCATTTAGCAGCTGCAGCTGTTCCAGATGCGCTTCCCGAGCTGGCGGCGCTCCTCCTCTGTTCCATGCCGTTGGGTAAGAAGCCAGCGATGATGGGCACCGGCCAGATGAGGGCGGCCACGCTCCACACGATGATGACCAGAGTCATGAAACAAGCCACCAAGGTGGACTCGATGGGTTTGCGGTTCATCCTCCAGCCGGGGTCCGCCTTGAGCTCCTCCAGGCTGAAATCCAGGCAGCAGAAATGGAGCCGCTCCCCTTGCTGCCAGGGTTGTCCGTGGTCCGAGGCAGGCAGCGAGAAGAGGGCAGCGGAGGACGGGGACGACGCCGGCGGCGGCGGGTTGGGGGTCCCCGGGCGGAGGCGGCCGACGCGCCTGCTCCGTTCCCAGCTGCAGCCCACGCACAGGCGCAGGTCCTGCTGGACGCCGCCGGCCGCCAGCCCGACGGGCTCGATGAGCAACGGCGGCGGCCCGACGCGGTGGAAGGCGGCTGAGAAAAAGGCGCGCCCGCCGCTGCCGCTGGTGGAAAAGAGCACGAGGTCGCACTGGAAGCCCAGCGGGCTCCAGCGCACCAGCAGCGAGCTGAGCATTTGGCGCTGCACGCTGATGTTGCACGGCGGCTCCTCGCGGGGCTGCTGCTGCTGCTGCGGGGCGGGGCGGGGCGGCCCAGGCGAAGGGGCAGCCGCCGCCGCCGCCGCGGGCGTGCTGGTGGCGCGGGGCTCGGCCGCCTCAGGGGCCGCGTCCCCTCCTTCTTGCAAGTCCGTCGCCGGGGCGCTGGCAGTCGCGAAGGTCTTCGGCGCCGAGCGGGGAGAGGAGGAGGTGGAGGAGGCGGAGGAGGAGGAGTTGAGGGGCGGCAGCGCGAGCTCGGGCAGCTCCTTCCGCCCCGAGTCTGAAGCGCCCGCGGGAGACCAGCCCCGGCATGGAGAAAAGGGCGCGAAGGCGGCAAGGAGCGCCGGGAGGAGCGGCAGCAGCATGGCACGGGCTTAGAGGAGCGCCCGAAGAGGAGGCGGAGGAGGAGGAGGTGGTGAGGGAGGTCGCATGGCGCCGCCGCCGCCGCTCATTGCCATTGGGGAAGAGCGAGCGAGGCTGCACGCTTCTTTCCCGACGAGAGAAAGCGCGGGAGAGGGAGGAGGGGTAGGAGCGAGGCTGCCTGCCGCCGTCCAGAGACGAGAGTGGGGGAGCCGCAGCAGCAACGCCAGCAGCAACTCCCACCTTCCCTTTGGTTCAACTGTCCTCCTGGAGAATTCGCCACCTCCGCTTCTCTGCGCGCCACCGCAAAACGGGACGCCTTCCAGGGGGTGCGGGGGGGGCTTTGTAGGGAGAGCCTGCCAATGCCTCGCTGCCGCTCCCTCGCTCGCTACAGGATTCCCTCTCGTTCCTTCGCTGGTGGGGAGTTCCCTTATTTCGTCACGCCAGGATCTCCTAATACGACGTCCCCCGCCTCTTCTCCCCCCCCCCTCGCAGGGATCAATAGCCAGCTCGCCCGGTCCTGCACGTAGACACCCCCCGACCCCCTTTCTGCCCGGAGGGGACTCGAGGAGCCGCCTCTTCTTGCCGCCTTCGCATGCCTGCCGTCGCTCTCTTTTAGGCGACCGGGTGGACTTCTGCGCCTATTCCTTAACTAATGTTGTTGCACGTAGGGCTCCAAAGTTCAGCGGGAGGATGCATAAGCTACCGATTGCATTGGAAGCTTCGGGCATTTCTACTGTTTTTTGCAGGGGTGGAGGGGAAACATCAGTGGAGCTTTTAGAAGAATCAGGAAAGAAATGCAATGTAATACTATGTGCAGATTTAACTTATAAAGATTGGAGAAAATGAATGGCATATATCAGCTCCACAAATGATTCTGTGAAATGATGGCTTTAAAATGCAATGTTGCTTTCCAAACATTTTCCATGCAAAGAACTCTGTTGAAATATGTGTGGGAGGCATGAAACATTTCCATGTTTTTCCTAACTGATAGGCAGGTGTCCTCTCTGTTGAGGCCTTGGCTCCTCATGTTTCAGTGAGGATTTTTTAAAACTCCAGTTGTTGGGCACTTGATAGGCAGGAATTGTTTGCCGTTGCTCAAACTTCCCTACATTTAAACTCTGCACTGGGCCAGCTCACACACCTAGAAGCCCATCATCAGATTTCTTGTTGCCCGGGTAGCTGCCATTCTTAATATTCAAACTATGGCAGGGCATGCTGTAGCTTGACAACATGTGTGAATCTTGGCAAGGTTAACAAACCGCCCACAAGGCCTTGGGTTGGTGGTGGGCAGTGTGTTATCCACCCAACAAACTAGGCTTGCTGGCTGTGGTGGAGCCCCAACTCAAGTCAGAATATTAAAAATGGCTCCCTGTTGCTACAGGGAAATTAACTCACATTGGCTTCTTGTGAAAAGCAAGCCAGAGCGCAGTCATTTAGCCTTCTTCAAGCTGATACCCTCCAGCTGTGTTGGACTATAGCACCCATCATCTCAGCCAGTATGGATACAGTAGACAAACTGGTGTACTGATGATCATCATGCACATGGTAGGCTTGTCATGAGTGGAGCCAGCTAGAGCTGGGGGTCAGACTAGATGGCCCGGGAGGCCTCTTCTGACTCGCTCTGTTTCTGTGTTTCTATCTTGCACTGGAACATGTGTCTGTTTTCCATTTTCTCTGCCCCATCTTGTTCACGATATCCAGTTTCCTTTCCTGCTTTATTGCCAGTGATACTCCTTTCCTTGCTCAGCGTGAAATTCCGCTCAGTGTTCATAGAGTCCTCTGTGAAAACAACTTCAAAAACCTGGGTTTTGGGGGAAGGGGGAACAGGAGCACATGCTTCAAACAAGTTTAAGTGATTAACTTATTTACAATTTTACCTCTAGTTGCCATGACTGATAGCCATTGACAGGGTTGTTATTAACATGAATGTAATCCTTAAGCATGCTAGTGGTCATCAAAACATTCTAAAGCAACAAATACTGTAATATAATTGTTCATAGAATCAGAGAATAGTAGAGTTGGAAGGGGCCAGAAGACCATTGGGTCTAACTCCCTGCTTAGTGCAGGACACCAAGTTAAACCATCCTTCTAACTGGATAAATGATTGCCTGCTTTATTTGAACTGACAATCAGAATCACTGCATGACTCCAGATGCTTATATTTTGAAATAAAAAATGCAGCCTTCCCCAATCTAGTTGTGTTGGCTGGGAAAGATGTGTGTTATATTGCAACACATCTGGAAAACACCAGGTTGGGGAGGGCTGGGGTTTTCTCCCCATTCATGATTATATATTTGTAGCACATTTCTTCCTTTTCTGACCTACGAAGTCCACTTGCTTATGTCTCCTTTCACAATGACGATGTGCTGTAGTAGTTCTAGCTCCTTGCTGTTCTTTTGCAAGTAGAGGTTTTTGTCATACTTCACACAGCCCTATACAAGTCTGACAAACACATAAGAGTTACAGAGGCTGGCCAGTGGTCTTGTGGACCTAAGGATGCTAAGTCATCTGTCATGCTGCCTTGTCTCAGAATTCCCCTTTCTCAGCTTAGTGGCTGCAGGAGAATGAGTTTTCCTCACAACAGTATATTATTCCCTATTAAAACCCATTGCCTTTACAAAAGACTTCCTTCTGATGGGATGGAAAACTGTTAGAAATTGAATATTTGGACTCCTTGGGGACTTAGCTATGGGGTCTGTCCTATGAGTGCCCCTATGTCAGAATTCACCACAGTCCCACTGACTCTGGCTATATCAGTGATGTACAAGCTGCTTCAAGATTTTTTAAAAAGTCAGGATCTAATCTAACAAATAAATACATAAATATGTCAAATAGTGAGAGAAGGAACAGCTTCCCTTGGGATAGTGGCAAGAGCTGGCTGACTCTGCCACTTTTCTCAGATATGGGAAGCCGTGGAAGAACAAGTTGCAACTTGCACTGCTGTGGCCAATGTCTAGGAGCAGCTTGTTTTTATTTTCCCCTGCAGAGAAGCTTGTTCCTTCAGAAAAAGAAAAGTCTGGAAAGTCTAAAAAGGGTTAAAGCAATTTCATCAAAGTGTAGTAGGTATGTTATGTTTTCCTCTGTTCCCATATGTAATACTCAAGAGAATGTAGCTATGGAAGAAGGTGATCTGAACTGTCATACATGATCTTGTGGGTGTCTCTCACATCTATTTCTGAAAAGACACTTGGTGGCGAGATCCATTGTTCAGCACAATTGTTATAGCTGGTGGGGGACGGGGGAGCTGGCGAATCATGCAATCATAGCCCTTGCCAGGTGGTTCAGAGCTCTGATTTAGGCAGATTATATATTCATAAATGATTCATCGTCAAAGCTCCAAAACAGGGAATGAAAAGATTTAAACATAAAATTGATTGCCAGGATAATATCAGTAACATTAAATTAATGCTGGATGTATATCATTAAGAAGCCTGGGTTATCATTTACGTATTTTGCATATATTACTTTATAGACAAGAATTACTCATAATTTCAACTTCAAAATCTAGCTCCCAAAGTTAGGGATATATTGTAGAAGGACTGTTTGCCAACAGTGGACAAAGGGCATAAGAGCGTGGGATTACAGCGGTAGTTATCTGTTTTGGAATGGACTACAGACAGTGTATGGCCGATCTTGCCTAATGTTACATAAGTTGAGAAAGGTAGAAGCATCTCTGACTTTCATTGGCTAAACTGCTCAGATCCCAGGGAGAGGCAGAGATGGACAGAAGCATTGGGGGTTCAAGAAAGGAGAGAATAGGAGCCTAAGAAGTGACATGTCCAAGCAACATGTCTGGCACAGGAAGTTTGGAAAAGGGAATGATCCAGAAGAAAGGAACAGGAGAAGGCCAGAGGTTGTAAAGAAATCTGGGAAAGAAAATGGGCAGAAAGGAGAAATATGTATGAGCAGGAAGTAAAAAGCTAAAGGACACAATTTGAACCACTAGGCAAATCCCAAGCTGGAATCCTCTAGTACAGTTCTATAGCCATTAACTATTATACTGGGAGTACAGCTCATGTTGAGCTGAATCGCCTTCCTTCTGCTTCCTTCACTGATCCATCTTCTCTGGCCCAAATCTATAGATCATTCCTACAACTGACCTCAGGCTTGTACCAAAAATTATCCATTGATTTGTCCTGTTTGCTGAACTTAATTGTCTGAGTGGTCATTATATGCTTTGTGAATCACATCACTGGATTTTTAAAACTAAACTGGAATGTCCACTTACTACAAGCAGACCTTGAGTCTAAAAGTGGCAACTACTCCAAAGTTTGATCAGAGGAGTTGATGTTATAAAACGGGCAGTTGAGATAAATAGTAATGTAGCTCCATGATGTACCAGTTTGTTCTTTGCTAGTTATAGAACTATAAAAGATCCATGTTATTGATCTTGGACTGTAGGTTTTAAAGGATCTTCATTGAACTTCATGTATTTGTACTGACATAACAGAAATGTAATAAAGCTGCATTCTATATATATATACACTCACCTGGGAGTAAGTCCCATTGTTCTCATTGGACAGCCATGCACAGGACTGGACTGTAAATACATCCAGACCTAGTCAGCCAAGTCTTTCAACTTAAGAGGAAAGCAAAGAGGACCTGTGCCTGGAAATACCTGCCACTCAATTAACACATCAATGCACCTGTTCCAGGGATAGCCTTAATTGAAAACCACATTTATTTCAACACATTATACCCAAATCCCAAGGCAATTGCTGATTTTCACAGCTTAAACCATTCTGGCATGAAAGGTGTGTTGCCTGGTCTTCTATTTTTCACATCTCACAATAGCAAACAACAGCCTTGTGGTTTGTTGCTGATCTGTTTCCCCAGGACAGGTGACAAATCCTATTACAGTCCTGTTGTTCCAGCAGGCCAGTGGCAGACAGAACGATGCAAGTGAGCAGGCTGGTTAATTCTGCAGTATTAGTGAAATTTGAGCCCTGTAGATGAAAAATGAGTTTTCATATCATGACCAGTTTCTCTCTTGTCCCATTCC